CTACCATCCTGTGGTGGTAGGTTGGTAGACAGCAACCACCCAGGGAGGTACTACCATCCTGTGGGTGGTAGGTTGGTAGACGGCAACCACCCAGGGAGGTACTACCATCCTGTGGTGGTAGGTTGGTAGACAGCAACCACCCAGGGAGGTACTACCATCCTGTGGTGGTAGGTTGGTAGACAGCAACCACCCAGGGAGGTACTACCATCCTGTGGTAGTAGGTTGGTAGATGGCAACCACCCAGGGAGGTACTACCATCCTGTGGTGATAGGTTGGTAGACAGCAACCACCCAGGGAGGTACTATGGTCCTATGGTAGTAGGTTGGTAGACGGCAACCACCCAGGGAGGTACTACCATCCTGTGGTGGTAGGTTGGTAGACGGCAACCACCCAGGGAGGTACTACCATCCTGTGGTGGTAGGTTGGTAGACGGCAACCACCCAGGGAGGTACTACCATCCTGTGGTAGGTTGGTAGACAGCAACCACCCAGGGAGGTACTACCATCCTGTGGTGGTAGGTTGATAGACAGCAGCCACCCAGGGAGGTACTACCATCCTGTGGTGGTAGGTTGGTAGACGGCAACCATCCAGGGAGGTACTACCATCCTGTGGTAGTAGGTTGGTAGACAGCAACCACCCAGGGAGGTACTACCATCCTGTGGTAGTAGGTTGGTAGACAGCAACCACCCAGGGAGGTACTACCATCCTGTGGTAGTAGGTTGGTAGACAGCAACAACCAGGGAGGTACTACCGTCCTGTGGTAGTAGGTTGGTAGACAGCAACCACCCAGGGAGGTACTACCATCCTGTGGTAGTAGGTTGGTAGACGGCAACCACCCAGGGAGGTACTACCGTCCTGTGGTAGTAGGTTGGTAGACGGCAACCACCCAGGGAGGTACTACCATCCTGTGGTAGTAGGTTGGTAGACAGCAACCACCCAGGGAGGTACTACCATCCTGTAGTAGTAGGTTGGTAGACAGCAGCCATCCTGCCAAATGTGTTCAACAGAAACCTGTAATTGTTTTACTCTGGTAGGATTGCTGCTGGTTTTTTCCTTTTTTGTAAATGTGCAAGAAGCCAGGTAAATCTTGCTACTTTTTATACTTGCACTACATACACACGTACAGTGGACCCTCAGGTAACTATTTTAATCTGTTGCAGAGAGCTTGTCCTTAACCGATTTTATTATTAGCTGAATTAATTTTTCCCGTAAGAAATAATGAAAATCCAATTAATTCGTTTCTGCTGTCAGGAGGCTTGACAGAACAGTACTTCAATATGACGCTATTATCAACTCTACGGCTCATTTATCTATCGCAATTCATTTAATATGACATAAACAATATTAATAACAGAAACATAATATATACTCTAGAATGAATAAAATGTCATAATGTCTGTGAGGATAAGTGATGGAAGTGTTGTTGGGTTTATAATGGCTACTGAGAGAAGTCGTACAGGCTTCTGCCACCACCACTATCCACAAACAATATATGAATGTAATTTACAAATAAGAAATATTTACATTTTAATTTTTAAATAAGTTTATTCAGATATACACATACAGTGGAACCTCAAAAATCGAACTTAATCCGTTCCAGGAGTTAGTTCTAAATTTGAAAAGTCTGAAATTCGAAGCAATATTTCCCATAAATGGAAATACTATTAATCCGTTCCAGAAACCCAAAAATACTCACAAAAAAATACATTTTAGAGATTAATTAGTTTTACATACACAAAACAAATGCTATAGTCTTTAATTATGTATAGTAATATAAAATAACATTTTTACTTACCTTTATTGAAGATTGGTGATGGCATCTGGATGATAGGGAGGAGGAGAGAGGGAGTTGGGGTTAGTGTTTGGAAGGAGAATCCCCCTCCATGAGGACTTCAGGTAAAGCCCTCTCTGGGGTTACTTTCCTTCTCTGTATTTTAATGCCACTAGGACCAGCTTGAGTCATTGGACCCCAGTCTCGCAAAATAACTGTCTACAGTCCTCTGTTTCTGTCTCACAAAATAACTATCCACAGTCTTCTGTTTGTCGCAAAATAACTGTCCACAATAGTCTGTTTCTTGCAAAATAACTCCACAGTCGTCTGTTTCTCACAAAATAACTGTCCACAGTCCTCTGTACATCCTGGCAAGCTAAACAAGTCTCACTCCAATCTCATACTTCTGTATTATTTCTTTCTTCACATCTATGGTGTTTCTCACTTTCTTTACCACAGGGGTACCGCTAGCAAGTTTCTTTGGGCCCATGGCAGCTTACTTCACAGCCCCACAAGCACTAAACACAATTAAATAATCGTAAAATGTGTGAATGAGATCGCAGGTTAGTGTTCACTCGAGCATAAACATAGCTAGACTGCTCATGGCGCCGACGTGGACAGAGTGGTCCAGCGGACAGGTCCCGTACCTGGCAGTCCAAAAATAGGGGTGCGTTTGATAATAGGGACACAGTTTGTCCGAAAAAATAGTCTTATTTTCGAAACGTTCGATATGTGATACGTTCGATTTTTGAGGTTCCACTGTAGTTATGTACATAGATTATCATGTATAGCAGCATAAGTGTAAAGTACCTAGGACACCCAAAGTCAGTGACTTGGGTATTTTCATTGGGATCCTTTTAGACTTACACTTACGTTGGAGAAGATGTTAGTTTGATGGAGGAGATGCTGGCAGAGGTTTAGTGGTGGAAGATACGTAGCAGGCCGGCGTATATTCAGTGGCCCGATACACGTACAACAACATTGGAGAGTTACTTTAGTGTCGTTTTTCCTATCGCTTACTTAACTTACTTGCTACACTGTTAATTCTACACTTTATCGCTGGTTGACACTATAGCCTTTATCGATACCTGCTGCTTTAGTGTTGTACATATTGTAGAATCACTGCAGAAGGCACATTCACCCCCTCTCTTCCTCCTCCATTTTGGTACTTTGCTAAGAGTTTTTTCTTGAATTTTTGTTTTTCATTTTTTATCACAGGGTTGGCACTAGAAACCTTCTTTGGGCCCATGGTGGCTTACTTAACAGTTACAAGCACTAAAGACAATGGAATACAAAAAATATCGCATGTACGCGTGGAATCGACCTCCCTGGCTTGTAAACAGTGGCACACTACCTTGTACGTGGGCTCAGGCCGCATGGACACGTTCGGGTCGAATGTCCTTAACCGAGTTTTTCATCGTTGGCCGAGCCAATATTTTCATGCAAAAATGCATTGGTATCCGATTTTATCACTATCCGATGGCATCGTTACCAGAGGGTCCATTGTATATGTACACGCACTGATCTGAATTTTCTTTTTAACAGTGCTTATCAATTTCCTTTCACCTCCTCCATGGGGAAGCGCAAAAGAATCTTTCCTCCATAACAAAGCGTGTTATAAAAGGCAACTAAAATGCTGGAAACAATGGGCAAGTAACTCCCTTCTTTATAAATTACTAAAAATTACAAGAGTTTCTTCTTTTTTGGTGGGAAATGTCCAGTGTTAAAAAAAAAAAAATCTTAAACTTAGACCAAAAGTTCTTCGTGTTCCAGTGAAATGCTGTTAAGTACACTGGATCTCTATCCATGTTAATCAGCTCGCATCTGAGTACATGTCCTCGCTCAGCCTGTATAGGAGAGTATCGACTAATTTTAATGGTATCTGTATTGGTGGGTATCTGCATCAACTTAAAGGGGGATATTGGTATCTGCAAACATCTTGGTATTGTTCCTTCCCAAGTTTTAACTAATCATCTTGCCTAGTTTTAAATTAAATTACTGTAACTTAGTCTGTGTTGGTACCCTTCAGTAAATATTCTGTAAACTATTCTCAATTTTAGTTCATATACCTTAGACCATGTTTTGAGTGGCAGTTAACTTTTAACACTGGCACATCTTTTCAAGACTGGTTTCCATTCAGTAACCAGAGTGCCTCTTGGCTTCAAATGTATGCTGGTATGCCTTCAAGATTTTGATAGATTTTAGGCTGTGTAAGTGTATACAGTGGTAACTCGGGATACGAACAGCTCAAAACTCTAACATTTGTGTAAGTGCATTTATGTAAATGCTTTTGTAAAGTATATTTTTGGGGGTCTGAAATGGATTAATCTGATTTACACTATTCCTCTTGAGCAAATTCATTTGGTATCGGCACTCAAACAGCCTTCTGGAACAAAAAAAAATTTGTATCCCGAGGTACCTCTGTATATTTTGTAAGACACTGGGCTATTTGCTTGCATTCAGTAGCTTAATACCTCTTGTTGGCTACAAATTCTGTACTAGAAACTATCACTGTACTCTGTACAGTTTGTTTCGCATGTACAGTGGACCCCCGCATAACGATTACCTCCGAATGCGACCAATTATGTAAGTGTATTTATGTAAGTGCGTTTGTACGTGTATGTTTGGGGGTCTGAAATGGACTAATCTACTTCACAATATTTCTTATGGGAACAAATTCGGTCAGTACTGGCACCTGAACATACTTCTGGAGTGAAAAAATATCGTTAACCGGGGGTCCACTGTATTGAAGTGGAAGTGGCTGTGATTATGGTAACAGGTACTATCTAATTTTCTCAGATCACCCGGTTACTGAAACTGTTTTCTAAATTTTTTTCCTTATTTCATGAATGGTAACTTTTTTTTTTGGGGGGGGGGAGGGAGGGTAGGTCTTTGTCATGGTGAAAATAAATAGTGGACCCCCGGTTAACGATATTTTTTCATTCCAGAAGTATGTTCAGGTGCCAGTACTGACCAAATTTGTTCCCATAAGGAATATTGTGAAGTAGATTAGTCCATTTCAGACCCCCAAACATGCACGTACAAACGCACTTACATAAATACACTTACATAATTGGTCGCATTGGGAGGTGATCGTTAAGCGGGGGTCCACTGTACTGTAATTGTAACCTCGGGTAACAATTTAGACCAGAAGGCTCTAATTCCTGGTGAAAAGTGCACCGGTAATTACTTATATCTTCATTGTTTACATGTCCATTTCCTTTCACAGGAACATCACGAAGACGACTTCTTCTTGTACATAGCCTATAGTGATGAGAGTGTATATGGAGGGGCGTGCTGAAGTTCCTCACTCGAGGCGAGAGCTAGCTGGAGAGACATAAACTGATCACGAGAGCAGGTGGTGGGATGACGTCCTGAAAGCGGAGAATTGGGAGCCCTCTTGGAATTTATTTTTTTGTTTAGGTTGCATTGGCTGTACATTTCAGGGTGTCTTGGTGCAGTTTTTGGGTGTTGGGGACTAGTTCCCCCCTGAGGTGCTAAAGAATTGCTCCTAAATTTCCTCAAAAAAAAAAAATGCACTTTAATTAAAGGTCTTGACTGAATTATGGTGAACACGTGTTTTACGCCTGAGCAGTCACGTATATTTCATGGAAGGGAACCTTTTAAAATCCTTGAAGGATGTGTTTTATCAGTTTCTTAGTCATTAGTTTAATTATCTACTGCTTTAGGTTTTGTAACTAAAAGCTGTGAGAAGATAATTCCTAAGGTGAATATTATAATGGTATAAATACTGACAAGTTGATACGTAAGACGAATGAGCAACTCTTAGGCACATATTTTTTGTTTAAAAATTTTTGCCAACACGGTCGACTCCTTCAGTCGAATACAGGAGGCGGCAACAGAAGCAGTAGAGATGTAAGGACTGTCATTAGTCCATCACCCTTGAAGATTGTTTTGAGGTGATCAGTCCCTCAGCCTGGAGGATTTCTGCTCTGTAGTCTGGAATATTGTTCCAGTCTATGGAGCAGAACTCTTCAGGCTGAGGGACTGACCACCTGAAAACTAAGTCTTCAAGGGTGGTGGACTGATAGGTCTTCTTAGCTCTACTCTTTCTGCCTCCTCCTACCTTCGACTGAAGAATCTTCCTATGTAAGCAAAACATTTTGAAATATTCCCAACAGTTGCCCATGTTTTGCGTATCAGCTAAGGTGTATAGGCATATTTCTACTTGAAGGTAATAATGCCTCTGGAATGGATTGTAGCTTTCGTCAATGGCTTATTTTGTGTATATGATTTTTCTTCATTCTGTATACTAGTTAAAATATATCATTTTTCCCTCCGTGTAAATACCATTTTAAAGTATATATGCATATTCTTGGCTATTATAATCATGTATGACAAACAGGGAAATAGACGAACTAAATTTATAACCCAACGGTAACACTGTCGGTAGTCTCAACACTGACACCTCTGGACGTATTACCTAAGTCTGATGTATAGCCACTCCTGGTTTAGGGTGTAGAATTTTCTCGAGAGAACCTTGTATTACGTTGTAGAATTTCCTTTGTTTGCCGTAATCTAGTATTGTCACTTGTATGAAATAAAACGAATAAAAGTTCTTGTTTACTTTGGAAAGTCCTTTGGCATGTTCTAGCTCATTCTGTGCTGTGTAAGAATGAGCTAAGGCTATTAAAAAAAAAAAAAAAATTCACAGGCAAATTGGTAAATTTTTTTAGTTTAACACATTACCAGGCTGGACTTGAGTCTTGGAAATGGGAAGTACAGTGTCTGCAATCTGAAGGAGGGGTGTTAATGTTGCAGTTTAAAAACTATAGTGTAAAGCACCCTTCTGGCAAGACAGTGATGGAGTGAATGATGGTGAAAGTTTCTTTTTCGGGCCACCCTGCCTTGGTGGGAATCAGCCAGTGTTAATAATAATAATAAAAATTACCATTGTGTTCTAGTGTTAATCCTGGAGTGATTGGAGGGGGATGGAATTGATGCTAGCGAGGGGCTCTTGAACCAAGGAACTGGATCACATTTCACCTTGGTAGTATCTGTGCTAAATTTCTATGGGTTAAGCACTTCGTTATGACTAAAAAAGCACACCTGTACAAACTGGAATCCACAAGGAAAGTTCTTGTAAGAAGTCCCATCAAGGGAGGTTCACTGATGCTGGTGAGGCATCTTGATTGGGAATTATCTGTGCTCCAGTTCTCTGAATTTAGTCTGAATATCATCCAGTCCCCCCCCCCCCCATCCCTCCAACCCACAGGTGCTGTATAATAGCTACGGGTTTAGTGCTCCCCATGATATTTTGTCGAGAGGATGAGGTCACTACATTAACCATATCATACCCACACCGGCAACTGCTGTATGATCCTTGTGGGTTTAGTGCTTAGTTTTGATAATACACCAGCAATCATACTAATGTCATTGTACAAATGGTCATATGAAAGTGGATTAATTAGATTTAGTTGGACCTTTCATTTTGCATTTTTCTTCTAAAGTGGCCTTTTGACTTTGGAACTTTCCTGGTTTTGATCGCTTGGGATTTTTGAGTCGGTGGCAAGGGAAGCGTACTGACAGATCTAATTGATCAGAAGAGATGGCAATACCCACAAGACCATCTCCTTTCCTTCCTTGCAGGATTCTAAGGCTGGTAGTGTTCAGTGGCTGACTCTGGCCTGTGAGTTTTAAGACCCTTGCCAGGAGTTAAAAGCCCCTTGCCCATTTGGTGATTTTCTTATTGCATGCAAGCCTGTTGAGTGATCCCCAGCTGATGATCCTTGTGGGTTTAGTGCTTGCTTTGATTGTAATACTGATCCCAGACAGTTAAACACTGGTGCTTTCGTGAACTAGAACACAGAATTTACCTCAGATGTCGCCACTAACACCCTTTCTTTATTATTGACTACCCTCTCTTCCCTTTTGACAATCCCTCTTTGACTACTTGACAAACAGATCTATTACACCAACTTTGTACTCTCCTTCCTAACTGGATCTGTTATACTCTACCCTTGGTGTTCTGAAATCGTGCATATTCAACCTTCAGTATGCCCCACCCTGCAGTGCTGTATGACCCTTGTTGGTTTAGTGCTCAGGTGCAATTATAAAGCAAAATGGTCACCATACGGCAGGTTACCGGCTCTGTGTATGTAGTATAGTGAAATGGGTTTGGTTTAAAAGATTCTTCACTCACTGCACTGACTAGTCAACCATGACCACGACAGAGGTTCATTGATGCTGATAAGAGGGGTCTGTCCCAGGAATCGGGACTCTTTCCCTTGGATCGAACCTAATTGCCTCCCACTACCCAGGTGCTGTATTACTCTATACAGCTTAGTGCTTCCTCAGAAGTTATGAATGAGGGTTATAGGGGTCTGTGAAGCCATAATCATCCCATGGTGTATATGTAATTAAACGCAATATTTTCTTTTCAATGGAGATTACTTGATTAAGGGAGTTTAAACTTAATACATTCTTGGATTGGATCTTAATTATCTCCCAATCCCTCAGGGGCTGTATGACCCCTGTGGATTTAGTGCTCCTAAATGTAAGTTAAAAGTATTTCTTTGGTTCTAACTGCGAGTTCCCATACATTGAGAGTGTGACTATCACCTGGTCTTAACACGGGATATTTCTATCAGTGATCAGAATATATCTGTTCACCTGCATAGAATTAATGAGAGCTGTTAGTTCTTGCTGTTCCCACTACTATAAGACCCTTGTATGTTTGGAGCCGTTTTGATGATGTTTATCTGATTTTTATCTGAATAAGTCAGTCGATAGGCCAAATAAATTTTGTAGGCTGACTGTGGAAGCCAGTCCCATCGAGGGAGGTTCCTTGATGCCAGTGAAAAATTTGGCCCAAAGAATTAGTATTATCCTCCATTTTTCTTGGATTGACTTAGGCTACTTGCTCACCCAGATACTGTTTGGCCTTTATGGGTTTAGTGCTTCCCACTAAGTATAATAATGTCTTCTATGACCTTTGAGTTACTCAGTATTACGATTAAAATTAACTCCTTTGATCTATACTTTTAACTTCCTATAGTCCCAAAAGTGGACTGGTTTCCTGTGCATCTACCTACTTGGAAGTCGTTCAGGGGGGTCAACGCCCCCGTGTTCAATTCCATGACCAGGCATCCCTGTGGATCAGTGCCTGATCAACCAGGCTGTTAATCCTGGCCAATGTAATCCTATGAACAAACCACAACACGGTTGATCATTTACTTAAGGCATCTGTCCAGTTCCCTTCTGAATACAGCCAGGGGTCTATTGGTAATCCCCCCTTGTGTATGCTGGTTCTGAATACAGCCAGGGGTCTATTGGTAATCCCCCCTTGTGTATGCTGGTTCTGAATACAGCCAGGGGTCTATTGGTAATCCCCCCTTGTGTATGCTGGTTCTGAATACAGCCAGGGGTCTATTGGTAATCCCCCCTTGTGTATGCTGGTAAGAAGTTGGTCTTGGGCCCCTGACACTTAAGGTACTCCTGGCACCCCTGTTTTCACTGGGGGGTGGGTGGGTCCGAGACCCATTTGAAAATTTGTATGTTTGGAGATTTACGGTGCCCTCATTGGATGACATTATCATGGAAATTCTCGTATCAGCAAAAGACGATACTGACCCATTAGTAGTTACCTCAGTTAAGTACAGGTAAGCTGTAATCATTGTTTGGATTTTTAAACTGGGAGGGGTTAAAACCCAAGAAAGTTGGCGAGTCATCGAGGACTGTCTTACTTCCATTGTGGTCCTCAATCTTGTCCCCCAGGATGTGATCCACACCAGTCCACTAACACCCAGGATGTGATCCACACCAGTCCACTAACACCCAGGATGTGATCCACACCAGTCCACTAACACCCAGGATGTGACCCACACCAGTCCACTAACACCCAGGATGTGACCCACACCAGTCCACTAACACCCAGGATGTGACCCACACCGGCCCACTAACACCCAGGATGCCACCACACCAGTCCACTAACACAGGATGCCACCCACACCAGTCCACTAACACCCAGGATGCCACCCACACCAGTCCACTAACACCCAGGGTGTGACCCACACCAGTCCACTAACACCCAGGATGCCACCCACACAAGTCCACTAACACCCAGGATGCCACCCACACCAGTGCACTAACACCCAGGATGTGACCCACACCAGTCCACTAACACCCAGGATGTGACCCACACTAGTCCACTAACATCCAGGATGTGACCCACACCAGTCCTCTATCACCCAGAATGTGACCCCCACCAGTCCACTAACACCCAGGATGTGACCCACACCAGTCCACTAACATCCAGGATGTGACCCACACCAGTCTACTAACACCCAGGATGTGACCCACACCAGTCCACTAACACCCAGGATGTGACCCACACCAGTCCACTAACACCCAGGATGTGACCCACCACTCCACTAACACCCAGGATGTGACCCACACCAGTCCACTAACACCCAGGATGCCACCCACACCAGTCCACTAACACCCAGGATGTGACCCACACCAATCCACTAACACGCAGGGTGCGACCCACACCAGTCCACTAACACCCAGGATGCCACCCACACCAGTCCACTAACACCCAGGATGCCACCCACACCAGTCCACTAACACGCAGGATGTGACCCACACCAGTCCACTAACACCCAGGATGCCACCCACACCAGTCCACTAACACCCAGGATGTGACCCACACCAGTCCACTAACACCCAGGATGTGACCCACACCAGTCCACTAACACCCAGGAAGTCACCCACACCAGTCCACTAACACCCAGGATGCCCCCCACACCAGTCCACTAACACCCAGGATGTGACCCACACCAGTCCACTAACACCCAGGATGTGACCCACACCAGTCCACTAACACCCAGGATGTGACCCACACCAGTCCACTAACACCCAGGATGTGACCCACACCAGTCCACTAACACCCAGGATGTGACCCACACCAGTCCACTAACACCCAGGATGTGACCCACACCAGTCCACTAACACCCAGGATGTGACCCACACCAGTCCACTAACACCCAGGATGCCCTCCACACCAGTCCACTAACACCCAGGATGTGACCCACACCAGTCCACTAACACCCAGGATGTGACCCACACCAGTCCACTAACACCCAGGATGCCACCCACACCAGTCCACTAACACTCAGGATGCCACCCACACCAGTCCACTAACACCCAGGATGCCACCCACACCAGTCGACTAACACCCAGGATGCCACCCACACCAGTCCACTAACACCCAGGATGTGACCCACACCAGTCCACTAACACCCAGGATGCCCCCCACACCAGTCCACTAACAACCAGGATGCCCCCCACACCAGTCCACTAACACCCAGGATGCCACCCACACCAGTCCACTAACACCCAGGATGCCCCCCACACCAGTCCACTAACACCCAGGATGCCACCCACACCAGTCCACTAACACCCAGGATGCCCCCCACACCAGTCCACTAACAACCAGGATGCCCCCCACACCAGTCCACTAACACCCAGGATGCCACCCACACCAGTCCACTAACACCCAGGATGCCCCCCACACCAGTCCACTAACACCCAGGATGCCACCCACACCAGTCCACT